TGCATCTGGAGGTCGTCCGGCCATTGCTGTTTCCACATTTTTTATGCTACTACTACTACTACTACTACTACTACTACTACTACTACGACTACGACTACGACTACGACTACGACTACTACTACCACTACCACTACCACTGCCACTGCCACTACCACTACCACTACCACCATCACCACTATCTCTCTACTTGTTGCGGGGAAGCAGAAACGCAAGAAGAAACGAATGCAGCACACGAGGCACACACACACACACATACCTACATATATATATATATATATAGATATATAGATATATGCAACGCACCATGTGCGATGTCACAAAAGCTTCTGTTACCTGCAACTCAAGGAGCGGCTCAAGACTGAGCCTAACGCTGCTTCCAGGCTGTGTACCCGAAGTGGAACAATGCTGTAAGGCTGTGACAGCCTTGGTTGCAATCGCTCACCCTCTCCGCTACCAGAACACAAGCATTTCCGATTGAGGCTGCGAGCGGCCGCTCATGCCAAATTCGCAAACCTCCAGTGCCAGAATGTATCGGGGGCAACATTGCTCGAATCGATGCACTGCTGAAAACATCGGCAACAGCGACCACCTTCTGTACCCAGTTGTTGAGGACGTGCTCAGCACCAACTTCTTCAGTAATCGCTTCAACCGGAATCACAGGCTGGACCTGCGTGTCGCCATCGCTTATCACTCCTTTTTCTAAACGACGGCTGGGCGCACCGCCTCCGAAGGGATTTCTTGCGGCGCCTGGTTCCAGCTGCTCGCTATTTCGTTCTCGTGGTAACAGCTCCACGGCGGCTGCGATCGGCCTGTGAGCTGGATGATGCTGGACTGGAACCTTAGCCGATCGCCGTTAGACGGAGGGCGGACGGCACGCGTGCCGTCGTGACAGCTGTTTTCTTCAGCGAGCGAGTGAGCGCGAAAGCTGCGAGTTACGATGTTCGCTGGCCGCAAGTTGCAGCCGCAGCTCACGCAGCTCCAGCTCGTGAACCTGTGCATCTGCCAAGAGCCGTAGACCAGCCTCTTGTGCTGTCCGTTCCTGGTGCAGTGCCTCAGCAAGCTCGGCTCGAAGATGTCGCGATGTGGCTTGTTGTTCAGACAGTCGCTCATGTAGCGCAGCCTGTCGATCCGTCCATTCCACGTCTCCTTCTGTTGCAAGACCGGTCCTCCACAACCAACTTGCAAGCAAGAGCTGTTTCATGCTGTTTACTGAATTACCCAGTAACCTTAAATACAGCTAGATGAGTTTGCCCCGAAAAGGCTCCAACAACCCAGTGGCCCCCACGACAATCCCGTCCTGGCTGCCTGGTGTCGGTGTCGCGATGCCACCTCTTGGAGGTCATCGTACTGCCGGCCCATTGCCACAAAAAGCATCTCGAGGTCTTGTAGTGCCTTTTGGACTGACTCAGTTTTTGCGCACGTGCTTTGGGCAGACTTGGCTCGGTCTTGTCTCACAAGCTTCTGATGGAGCTCGCATGCTCTGGCTGCCCGGCTCCAGAAACTTTGTACGTCCTGCTCCCAAGATGAGCCAGACGTTGCATGCAGGCAGCTTGAGGGCACACCAGGTGCCAGGTTCTCATGGCGTAGATGTCTCGTTGACATAGAACTCAGGAAGATGCCCAGGGTGCTTGTGACCCAGCGAATGCCTTTCTTTGACTCCACGGTTTTTACATGATGTACTTTCGAGCCCGCAGCCGCGGCAAACATGAGGGCATTCCCGCATGACGCGGCGAGATTCTTCACCTCTGCCTGTGTCCAGGTCGGATTGAAACCGAGGAGACCGCAGCGAGAACCGAGCGTGCCAGCAGCATCTGGCATGGTGTACACCAGAAACGTTCCGTCCTGCAGTGCCAGCATGTGCCAGCGTGCACAACCATGGATCACTTTTGCACGAGACCACGGCTCCACTCTGAATGAAACTCTGCGATTGTCTTCTCACGGACATGAGATTGACTTGGCATCCATTTTCGCGGTATGCCAGGATACGCCGACGCGGAAATTCTTGTCATGGCATGCCAAGGGAAACATCCGTCGACGTGCATCGGAAAGCAGATGTGCCGACATGTTCCGATGCGCTTGGCACGCCAATGCTTACATGACGCCATGCTCATACATCACACACACGGCATATCTTCGACATGACATATGCTTCCACTTCTATGCGTTCCGACATGCATGCAGGAGTGGTTCTTGCCTGCCGTGCGGAGTTTGCAGACAAGAAAGCTGAACATTGGATCGATCCCGACTGCCTCATTACAAGAAATCGAAACGCGGACTTTGTCCAAGCTCGCACCTGAGCTCCAACAGAGAGACCGGCAGTTTGCAGACACTAATGAAACGAACAGAATGTCCAGGCAACCGGACAATCGGCAGCTGCAGCTGCAATGCGAACTGTTGTTCGCCTCAAATTGTCGCGATTGTCCCCGCAGCAGAACTGTAGCTAAGCCATAGAAGCTGAAGCCACAAGTGCACATGAACAGGCTCGCAGGCCGTTGAATGGGCAGCTCTGCGGCCAGATGTGGCCAGCAAACAGGACACAATGACAAGCACAGCATCATCGACGAGGGAAAGCAAACTCCAAGCTTGCACAAAGCAGCTTAGAGATCTGCAACTCGCACGTGAGCACCTTGGAAAGAATGACGACAGCAACATGTGCTCAAGCCCCTTCCCCGAAGCATCTATGTTCTGAGTCGCCAGCTGCAAGCTTGCCAATATCATTCTGCAGTGTCCTTTGCATCACACAACCAACGTTCGAGCTGCTCCAGTGCCGCAACCTTCTCAAGAAACCAATGGCTATAGTGACTGCCATAGTGTTACTACATTTTGGGAGCAGAAACACAGCCTAGGATGTTCGCTGGCAGGCTACGAAAAACTTCCGAGCTCTCGGGCGGCTTGAAATCCTAAGCGTGAACAACGCCATGGCTACAGCACGACTTACACCGCAAAATGCGCACAGCACTGAGGCGAGAGTGGTGGCAGAGCGACGAAGCTAGCGGTGGCGACACCCCCACGGAAAGCGAAAACAGCAAAACGCGAACGCACTGCTGCCAGCTCATGATCTCGGACTTCCAGAAAGGCAGTGATTTCGAGACAGCACTGACCGGTGTGAAGGACCGCATAGCGCGGCCTTCTCACAGATGCACAGCCTCCGAATCACCTGATGTCAGCGACAGCTATTTGCGTCAGCAGCGAACGGCAGCAGCACAAGCAAAGTGGAACAAGCATGCGAACTGCTGCGATCCGGCAACCAAGGCAAACAAGATAGATACGCCAGATATGCATTGGGGCGTTCGGTGCATGCGCTGCAGCGTGGTTCGTGCAGCCTACGCGGCAAACCAACGCGAGAAGGTATTATGGCAGAGCGTGATTGCACACCAAGATGCACACGGCACTGTCGCGAAAGCGCGATTCAGGGAAGTATGAAAACGCCAAAGTGCTACATTTTAGAATGATGGCAGCATCCACTCGTTGGCCAGGGTCAACTCGTGACGATGAGCATGAAAGCCCCGAAATTCTGGCTGGCGCATGCAGGCACAAAACGTCGTCAGCTTTACATGTTCCATTCGGGCACGCCCCATGTACTCATCAACTTTTCTGGCGTCGGCATCGTGAAGGCACTGCCGGCAGGGCAGGTCTTGAGTCGGACAAGAGAGAAGCAGATCCAAGGAAGCCTCGATGCACACTCCAATTGACGACTGCTTCTGCATCAGTCAGCTCACAGTTTGCAGTATCAGGGCCAGGCAAACGCTACCAAACAGAGGAACTTGCAGTGCACATCTACGTCAGGGCAGGGAGCTCGTCAGGTCATGGGGAGAGTTGAAATTTGGCTTTGGAGCTCACTCTCGGACATGCCAGGCGAGGTTCTTGGTGCATGATCGGTTGGAGGTGAAACCAGTTGTGAACGTGCAGGACGCCGGACTGAGAAACGACCCAGCTGCAGGATATTCGGGACCGAGAGGTCCAGGTGCGGCGAGAGCCAGCTTACCTGTGAAACTTCGTCGACTGCTGGGACCTTGAGGCTGCAGAACTTTTGTTCATACATACACCAGAAAGCCAGAGTCTAGAGGACTGCTCAACATGTCGCAAAAGTGAAGTGGCTTGCGTCATTCCTATGCTCTCCTTCACTGCTGTTCAGATCTGGTAAATGTGGCTCGGTCAAAGTATCTTCTTTCCGGCTTCGGGTGCGCACTTTGTTGCCTTCAAAAGCCCATGTTGCGGAAAGCCTCCCCAAAACACCCAAGACCCCAACAGAGTGAACGTCATGTACCCAAAAGCAACTGTGGCGGCAGTAGCCGTAACGGCGGTAGCAACTACTACTCCAGGACACAGCAGCAGCAACGGAAAAAAACAACAATCAGTTTTGCATTGACGGTTTCGGCCTTGAGATTTCAGACTGCCAAGTCGGTCACTTCGAGGTACTGGGCGAGGTGTCCATAGCTCACAAGTCGGGGAACAAGGCCGTGCAAACGTCGCGCAACAGCATCTGTCGCGGCAGTGACGCCTTCTTCTGACCGTCAGTAGCTCTGATGCTCACGGCAATGCGATTGGCAATACGCAGCGCTTACCAGTTCTGATTCCATCAATGGGATCTGGCGGCTGGCAACTTAAGGGCTTGCTCAGGCGCAGACTTCGTGATGTGAATGTAATTCTCGAAGCGCTGTCGGATCATGCCCTGGAGCTTCCCTTTGAGGTGTTCTCCCATACCTGAGGTCAAGCGCTGTGCCTTGGCTCTTGAAACTGACAACCCTTAACTCAGACTTCTGTTTGATCTGAGTTAGGGGCGCATGACGAGAGGATTGACCTACGGCTCGGGCTCGGACGCGACGCTCCGCGAAACAAAGGAATGTCTTATCGCTGTGCATTGTACACTTTACAACAGAAATTGCTTTGGCAGGGTGCTGTTATCGTACCATCCCTGGCAGTGCCCGACGGTGCAAGCGATGATGATGCCTGAACATCAGCTGCTAGTGGAAACACAAAGGTTTCGAAAGGTGCAGTATATGATCAAGGCCGCAGCATCATCGTGCCAAGACCTTCGGCCCGAAACCCCCGTACATCCGTTTGAAGCAACCAGCTGCACCAGCTGCAGCTGGAGGATCGACGAGCTCCCGACGAGAAGTCCGATGGCGGATCCGAGGGTGCCTTTGACCTCGCTGGTGATTGCTCCAGCCTCGGAATGCGGGGACCAAAAGTCATCGGCCATCGTTTCGGTGAGGTGAGCCAAGCCCAGCGGCAAGAGAGGCTGAGGCTGATCCCCGCTGGAGGACGCTCCTCAACCACAGTGCTCTCATCAGAGCCCCGCACAACTGCAACAGCTGTCTTCTCCTGTGTGAAAGGCCAGCGGATGGGCCGAAGGCAGCGACCTGCGGATCTGGCAACGTGAGATTGTCTTCACATTCCTTAAAGGGAAAGCAGCCTGAGGTGACTATGATAAGGTCGAGCCTGACGAGATTTCCACTAGCTACACTCAGCAGCCACAGGAGTTCGTCTGAGAGCCTCAAGGCATCAAGCCAAGAGCCAATAACTCAATAACCCAAAGAAGCTCAAAAACGAGCCAGCAGCAGAGGTACCGTCACCAAACAAGGCAAACGGTCGGGAATGGAATTCGAGTTGCCAGGATTTCAGAAGTTGAACAAACAAGAAGATCTCCTGTTCTCGGTACGAAGAAGTCACACCACTCCAAGCAAACTGTAGCAGTTCTCATACAACTTGATGTCGCTGTCATTTTCTTGGCCAACCTGACCTGTGGCAGTGGAACAAGGCCGGACTATGGAGGCGGTGGTCCATTTCCCATGCCACGAGCAGGAAGGGACGCGAGAACAAGGAGGGACATGCATGGCAGGACAACGCAATCCCGGACTAGCCGGCCGCAACAAAGGATGAAGAATCTTCTCCCACAACCCGGCTGCCCCATCCCATAGGCTGGAAGAGCTTCTCGGACACCGCATCCATCGAACAAAACGAAGTGGGCACAAGGTGCACAAGGAATAACAAGAGAGGGGAGGGGGGGCGGGCAGGATGTTCTCAGCCAACGCGCCCATCCCCATCCCACACACAGGCAGTGAACAAGCAGAGACGAGGAAAACAGCTCCCGAGCGTGTGGGGTCCCCAAGAAGTCGTGGACGGCATCGTCGTTGTGAAGGCCGGCCCACAAAGCGCATGGCACTTGTCGGCTGGAGGAAAGCCAGTTGATTGCAAAAAAGCAAACGTCTGCTGGCAGGCGCCTCTTGCCCACTGACTCTGGAGACTTTGTACTCATAATCGTACTGCACTTCCTTGCGGTGTACAAGTGCTGCTCGCTTTGTGGGCGCACGGGCAGCAAATTGAAATGAGGGGGGTCGTAACGCGATGCGAGTAGGATTGTTGTTGATCTTTCTGCCAGAATTGCCATGCTCCTCACTGGCCGCTGGCCTGCCTTCTCGATGCGCGTCGTCTCTTGGATGCCGTGTGCGCTCCGTGCAGTGTACCGTGCACAGGATCTCCGAGTACATTGAATGCTTCTCTCTCCAACCTCTCTTGGATTGTTTTGATTTTGTTGGTGACGCTACATGCTAGTGCCCCACCACCGGCCGCTCGGTTCGCAGATTCCGGCCACTCGTTTGAGTACTGTCTCCGTTCTTACATTCCATGGTCGCACCCTGGAGCACTTTACCCGTGACCACGGGCCGTAGGGTATAGAAAAGCGTGTGTGCGCGCGCAAGGTCGATTTGGAGCATGGGGACTCAAACTCTTGCAAGAGCGAAGCTCGACCATCGAGGAGGTGAGAGGATGGACGGGAAGAGCAGGATCCAGTGGAGAGGCTGAGAAGGCTGATGCGCAGCAGGCCCCCAGTGATAGGGGCGAACGAGCAACGCCAAGTGTAAGAGGCCGGACGGGCCACGCCCGACCTCCTCCTGCTGCAGTAGGATGTTGGGACGTGAACTTTGCCCGATCATATGTGCAGCCTGGCCCCCGTGAAGCAAGGTACAAGGCAGCCTCCACACGATGTGCAGCAAAAGGGCGAACGATGGACGTCAGCGGCCGCATGTGCAGCCTTAACTCGTTACGCGAGCTATGATCCCCAAACGAGCAGCGGCTTTGTGCTGGAGGGATAAGATCCCACTCTGGAACATTTCGGCGAGGGCCCGCCAGTTTCGCATCTGACATTCCGGCGCACAAGCCGAAGCACGAGATGTGCCCAACAATGACTTGCAATGGTCGCTAACACATCCAGTTCAATGGTAAAGGAATAATCCGGTGTGGCACCCCCCCTCCCCGAAAAAACAATTATAGAATTTGCAGAATTCCTATTCAGTGGCACATGCCACAACTGTGCGGCCGTCGTACAATGGCCAGTCTTCGGCTGCCGTTCCACTTTTCCCCTTTCCTGTAGGCTCGTTGGGGCTGCAGGTGAGCTGCTGTCCCAACTGATGCCAAGGATTCGGCCCCAAACACCACGAGCCACTGTGAAGTTGTCCCAAAGAGGAAGCTGCTGCCAAAAAGGACAAGGCTGTAGAGGATCCGCCGGTTTGCCGGCCGGCTCGAGCTTCCAGAGAGATTGTCGGCCCAGTGAAGTGCAGAGACGTACAACCAGACTCGGCGACCGCGCTGAGAAAACCCCGTCGAGAACCCTAAATTCTAAAAGGAGCAGTCAAAGTATAAACCCGAGTGTGGAGAGCAGCAAGGTCTAGAAGGGTCCAGCCTCCAGCCCCGAGAAACTGACAAGCCTGTTCTCCCTATACAGTATCCTCCCAGACACGTCAGACAAGTGGGACATGCCCTGAGAAGCTTTCGTCCAAGTCTTCCAAACACATAAAACACAGCAACAAGCTTAAAATCCTCAAAAACATACAGGAGAAACCGGGCGAGCATTGGAAATCCTAGGAAAGCCATCGCCGCAACTTGTCCGAAAATCGTGAGCAATGCACCAGAAAGTCCTGGTACTGTCAACGTTGGGGAATCTGGCGAAATCGCTAGACCCACTACTTCCTGACACAATGCAAAAAACAAGTGTCAAACAAAGGCCTCATTATTTGGAAGCAGTCATGATTTGGAAGCAGTTGCTTTACGCAACAAGTTGCACAAAACCTTCCGAATGAGAATCACAAGTTGTCTACTGTCGTAGACTTCATGCAGCAGTAACGCGGCCTGTATGCCATGGCATGTTTCTCTACTGGCTCGTGCCCGTGCCCTCTCTGGCCAAACCAAACGGCTGACACAAAGTCTGCATCCGACCGCACACGAATGACCGGAGGCTATCAGAGCAGCACTGAAGTTTGTGATTTTCGGATCTTCGCCGATCAGCACACGTGAGAAAGGCTGCCACGCCTACCTTGCTGCTTGAGACACACTGCCTCTCAACTGGAGGAAGACCTTGGCAACAGCTTTTCTGAATGTCCCTGCAACCTTTGGAAGTGTCAAGCGCCCTGCTGTGTTAACGGAGGTGCTGCTACCGGCCTTCGACGATGCTTCGTGGTTGACCCCGATCAGAGAGTATGCGCTGTCTCACATCAGTCTTTACACTGTGAACTTCATTGAGCAGGGTGCTTGCAGCTGACTGCTGCCGTCCAAGGCTGCCAAGGCCTTGCAAGAAGCACATTGCCACAGACATAAATCGCCTGCATGCGGGCCTCCTTGAGTCCATTGATTTCATTCTCTCTTCTCTGCTTTCGCTCCTGCATTGCATCGCAAACCCTAGCAGTCGTGGCAATCGGTCAAGCGCTTTGCTGCCCTCACTTGCGCTGCATAGTCTATCTAGCAGGCGCTCCTCGTATGGCTCGGGTTTGGCCACGCACTGATCCTCTTCAGCCACAACCCATCAACGACATGATTAAATCACTCGGCATCCCCGGACACATACAGTCGAAGAGATGGAACTCGACAGCCCTCGAAGAATCAAATTTGTCACGAACTCAACTGACTTGACTCCTGGAGCTTGGCTGTGAAGTCCTTCCAAGTTCATGTTTGCAGAAAGTGCGAAACACAGTCCGTGTGTCCTGCAACGCATCCAGCTCCTCTTTGGCAGCTGCATGGTCGGAGTTGAGCTCGTTGAGCAGCTGTGCGCAGAGTGTTCCATTCTGAGTTCTTCGTGCCGTGCGGGGCATGATGCTCCGTCGCAGGGTTGTGATTCTACCCGCGCTACTACGAGTATTACTACCACCACTACCCCCTTGCTACCTACTACTAAACTACTACTTCTGCTCCTGCTCCTGCTCCTCTCCTGCGCCTCCTCCTCGTCCTGCACCTCCTCCTGCTCCTCCTTCTGCTCCTGCTGCTACAGCTACAGCTACAGCTTCTGCTACTACTATTCCTACTGCTGCCACTGCGACTTACTACTTCTACTGCTACCACTACTACTGCTGCTGTTTCTACTACTACTGCTGCACTACTACTACTACTACTACTACTACTACTACTACTACTACTACTACTACTACTACTACTACTACTACTACTACTACTACTACTACTACGACTAGTATTTGTTCATCAATGCTGCCCACCAAGGTACA